ATTTCTATTTCTATTTCTATTTCTATTTCTATTTTTATTTTTATTTTTATTTTTATATGTATTTTTATTTTTTTTATTTATATTTTTGTTGGGCAGTGGGGACAGCTCGGGACCCCCCAGCTCTACTCACTCAGGACAGAGAGGGTTCAGCAGAGCCTCAGCACTTCCCTCACTGCAGCCAAAAGAGACAGAATTGGGAAAAAAAAGGGATTTCCACTCAAAGTCACAATTCCCACCAGGCTGGAGGACTCAAAGCAATGAGGAGCTAACAAAAATTCCCTGTAAAGAGCTCAATGGCTTTTATCCACCCAAAAAATAAAAAAAAAATCAGTAAAAATGTGATTTTTGTGCTTATTTAATATTTTCTGATGTCCAGCAGAGCATTCCTGCTTTTCTTCATTTCTGGTCTGCAGGACAGAACCCTCAGCTCTGTTTTAATCTCATTTAATGTTAATTTTAAGGCAAGGAGTTGTTTTTTAATGCTAACCCACAAATAAGCATTAAATATAAAGCAGGAAGAGACAAGAAGGAGCTAGAGAAATCCCAGGAGTAAACCATGTATGGCTGGGTTTTTCCTGTCTTTATTTCAGCCTTATATTGTCAAAATGTTTATAGGATCCATTTTTGGCACCTGATTAAACCATTATCCTCCTGCCATCCAGAGCTGGGATGCATTTTACCTCACCCATATCATTTTTTTGGGTGTTCTAGGCCAAAAAGATCAGTAAATTTAATTTATAGCTTTAAAAGGATAAAAAAAAAAAAGCACAGTGGGAAGAAAAATCATCATAAATCACTACCTTTATTTTTATAGAAATAATTATGTTGAATTTCAGAATTGTTACATACTGTAGGTGAAATCTCTCTCCTATAATCACTCCAAAAAACAGTATTTTAAGGGCAAATTCAGGCTCACCTACCTTAGATTGTGATGCTTCTGGAAATTTTCTCTTCCTCCACCTCCAGCTCAGATTTTTTTTTAATAAAGTAGTTTTTGCAGCTTGCAGCTCAGTCAGTATTTGTTTTTCTCTTGATGTTTTATGCTTTTTTCCATATATTGATGTGTAGATTTTAAAACAGGTGCACTAAAAATCTTCTGAGGTCTTGATGTGCATTTCTGAGCAAAGTGGAGATGGTCAAAATGCTCAGAGGAGTAGCAGAGATGTCATCAAAAAGACCCAAAAATGATCTTTTTTAGCTATTTGGGGTGTGATGACATCATGGAAGGGGAAAAAAAAGGGGGATGATGAGGCCTGGAGCAGAAAATGCAGAGTTTGAGAGGAATTCCCCTGCTCTGCAGACAAAATACTGAAATATAAAACACATAGTATGTAATGAAATGGTGTTTGCTGCACTTCCAGGCAGAACTTCACAGCAAGAACTTTGAGAAAGCTTCCTCAGCCACCTGTGGTTTGGCTGGACCTTCACTGAGCTCATGTCTGTGTTTTGATCCTGTTTTGGGGTCAAAAAGATGATTTCTGCTTCAATTTTTGTCCTAAACCAGTCCCAGAAGTGTGAACAAGGTGGGTTCAGAGTCTGAAGGTGGAACTCAGGGCAGTTTGTTCCTGGCCACAAACACAATTCCTCTCCTGCAGGAACCAAATCCCTGAGAGGAGTTTGGATGTGCCGACAGCTCCAAAGCCACGGAGGCATCACAGTTACTGCCAGGGACTTTGGGCTGCTTTGCCTTGCATTAAAAATGTTTGGCTGCAGAACAAAACCCACCCGTGGCACATCTGAGGGGGCTCCAGCAGCTCGTGTGGCCCCAGGACCTGCAGAACATCCTCAGGTGAGGAGCGTGAGGGGTTCAGAGGGACATTCAGAGGAACCACACTGTTCTCCAGTCCTGTGGGGTCCAGAGCCTTGATCTTCCCCTCTCAGGTCAGACAGGGTGTGAAGAGCAGATTGTTTCCTGTGTAAGACAATCCTTGAAGGCCTTTGGAATCTCCCTGGCTGGAGATAAATCCCCACCGAGCAGTTTTGCGCTGTTAATCGTGATATGATTTCTTATATGGCAGTAATTGTCATGTTTTGTACCAAACTGAGCCAAAATCCCCCGCTCTTGGCTGGGCTCCAGCAGAGCTGCTCTGCCTGAGGGCATTTATTGCCATGAGAGCAGCAAAGCATCACTCTTTGTATGAGTGATAAAATGGGATACAAGTGATGGTGAGAACCCCCTGGGAACACCCAGCGTTATTTTAGAGATTCATAAACCATGGAATTACAGGAGACCCTCCTGGGGCACTGTCACTGCCTTGCACCTTCCACTGCTAAAGGAGAGTTACATTTTTTAGAATTTATTCCTCTGGGCTGTGCTTGTAGAGGAAATTCCTCTTCCTTCCTCTGACAAATGTGCTGGAGGGGGAATCTTCTCCCTGGGAGCAGCACCAGGACAGGCAGAGGCTCCATCCCAGGAGTTCCATCCCCGTGCAGATGTGGAGCTTGCTGCCAGCACCTCAGCACAGCCTGTCTGTGCTCAGAGCCGCAATTAATAAATGACAGCAACCCCTGGCTGCTCCACAGTGCCCACTTAATGATTAAACTCCTGCCTGGAACCAGCCAGGGGTGGTTTTGCTGCACATGAACCCCTCTGCAAGGAACAACACTGCCCCTGTCTGTCTCTTCCTGGACTTCCAGATCCAAAGGTGTTTGGAAGAAAAGAGTTGAGGTCTCAGGGGAGTGGAGATCCTCACTCCCTACCCTGCCAGGGTGATCCCAAACCCGGGATTTCAGAGCAGGAACGAGGAACAGCGGGTCTGGTTCTGGTTGAAGATATTGTTGGGTAAGTTTGCATCACTGGCAAATGGAGGAAATCAAAACCCAAATCAAGAAACCCTGGTTGTTTTAACACAGCAGGAAAAGGCTGGAATGTCCCTGGTGGGGCTCCTCTTTGCAGGTTCTTGGTTCTGTGGGGCCAAGCCTGGCACGGGTGGGAGCTGCAGTGACGAGGTTGGGACTTTTCTGCTTGACAATTCCATTAGAAACAAAGAACAGGGGCAAAAAGAAAAGAAATGATAATGGAGAGAAGCACGGTGGGGTTGGAGAGGGCTCTTGTCTCCTTGTGAGCAGGGAAGGACAGAGCCTCAGCTCCAAACCGTCCTGGAACGTGGATAGAAAGCCTCAGACATCTCCAGCATCTCCCACAGAGCTGGAGCGAGCCCAGCTCGATCCTGGAGCCCAGCTTTGGTGTTTCAGCACCAGCTTTGGTGTTTCAGCACCAGCTTTGGTGTTTCAGCACCAGGTTTGGCATTTCCCAGCTTGGTTCAGCAGCATCCAAGCCTCCCTCCCCACCTCTCAGCCCCAGGGCTCCCCCAGTGCCACCCTAGAGACATGAGAGCTGTTATTAACACAAATTATTTCTGCTGTGGCCTGGTGCAGCTGCAGTTCCCTGACATTGCCAGAATCCCACCAGGCACTGCTCCTGAATTTGATCTTTGTAATGAAAGGTGTTTTTAACTGAGACAGGAGGTCCTGACAGGCTCATGCAGACATGGAAATGACACGTCTGAGCCAGGGTGGGACTGACGGTTAGGAATTAGATGAATATTCTGTGCAAAATGCAAAGCTGGGTGTTTTCTTTGTTGTTTTTAACGTTGTTGACACATAAACTCAGTCTGGATAATCTGCATGAAGACACTGAGGGTACATTTACCAGCTCTTCTGAGACTTGCTGCTTCTGCAAGGCTGTGATCTCTCTTCGTGGCTGTTTTGTGTCTGGGTTCTGCTGGGATTTTGCCTTCCAGGCACAAATCAAGTTAAATATTCCCAGAATAAGATTCACAGAATCATGGAATGGTTTGGGTTGGAAGGGACCTTAAAGCTCATCTCATCCCACCCCTGCCAGAGCATGAAGTCAGATTTTGGTTTCAGGGGTCCCCAGACAAGAACCCAGGAGCTCTGCTGGGCTCTGGCTGAACCTGGGGGTAGATTTTGTGTTGCTTTGTCCCCCACCCAGACTTGGAGCAAGCTGGGATTGTGGGAGTGAAACTGGATGAGCTTTAAGGTCCCTTCCAACCCAAACCATTCCATGATTTGATGATGATGACAAAGCAAGACCCTTTGTTCCTTACAGGCAATTTCATTTCCAAACTACCGCAGGCTTTCCTTAGAGACAGGGACCGACCCGTGGAGGCAATTGCCCTAAACAATTTACTGATGTTAATTAACTGCTGGCAGCACTAAGCTGCACTCAATCCCTTCCATCCCTGACCTTGCAGCAGCAGCACCTTTCCAAGACAGTCTGTGAATACCAAAAAGGCTCAGGCTGCCACAAGGCAGGCTTTCAATCCCTCTCCAAACCTCGCTGGAGCTGCTCTGCACGGAGACAAGGGGAGGGCACCCTAGTAAAGAGCTGCAGGTGCTGACCCACAGAAAGAATCCAAGGAATGCGAGGTGCTGATGCAGGGAAAGGAGCAGGGAAATGCTGGTTTGTAGCTGAGCAATGAAGTGAATTATTCTGGGCCTGGCCAGCCTGACGCAAAGCTGCACCAGGAGGAGAAAATCTCCAGCAGCAGGAAGCAGAGGGAGCAGCCGGGCTGCAGGAAGGAACTTGCAGGTGCTCCAGGTGGAGCTGAGGTGGCCTCGCTCCCTGAAGCAGGAGCAGGAGCAGGAATAGGATCAGGAATTGGAGCAGGAACAGGAACAGGATCAGGAATAAGAGCAGGAACAGGAGCAAGATCAAGATCAGAATAGGAACAGGATCAAGATCAAAATAGGAAGAGGAAGAGGAGCAGGAGCAGGAATAGGATCAAGATCAGGAGCAGGAATATGAATAGGAACAGGATCAGGAGCAGGGGCAGGAACAGGAGCAGGAATAGGAATAGGAGCAGGAATAGAATCAGAGGCAGAAACAGCAGCAGGAGCAGGGGCTGAAATAGGAGCAGGAGCAGGAATAGGAATAGGAATAGGGTCAGGAGCAGGATCAGGAGCAGAATCAGGGGCAGAATCAGGGGCAGGATCAGCAGCAGGATTGGGAGCAGGATCAGGATCAGGGGCAGGATCAGCAGCAGGGGCAGGATCAGCAGCAGGAGCGGGAACAGAAGCAGGAGCAGGAATAGGAACAAGATCAAGATCAGAAGCAGTAATAGGAACAGGATCAAGATCAGGAGCAGGGGCAGCAGCAGGATCAGGAGCAGGAGCAGGATCCCTCTGCCAGCAGCAGAGCTCGGCTCTGGGGGGCAGAGACCCTCTTGCATAAGGTCACAGCCCTGGGGCATGAACAGCTCCGTTTCTAAGGGCTACAAACAGATCCAGCAGGTAAAATTCCATATTCCCCTCGCAGGACTAGACAGCGATGCCTGCTTGTGGAACGGGGCCTGCCCGTGGTGATTCAGCCCAGAGCATTGGCAGCTCCAGGAAAGGCACAGAAATGTGGAGTTCATTCCCAGAGGAATGACCCTGCTGCTCTGCGCTGTTGTTTTAATTTGTTCTTTTGTTTCCATGTCATACCAGCTCCTGTTTGTGAGCGTCACCACGTCACAGATTGATAAGGGATCTTTGGGAGTGAGATTTCCCCTTGGAAATCGGAACAAAACTCAGCTTTCATGACACCAGCACACAATGGTTCTGGCTAAAGCCAAAGATCAGAAGAGAAACCTTTTGTTTCCAAAACAATCCGGTTTTAAGAAATGTTTAGGTTCTGTTTCAGGGCAAAAATGCTTTGAGAGAGTCCTTAATGCTCTCCTCCTTTCTCATTAGATAAACAAGGTGAGATTTCCCTTGGGACTTGCATCATGCAGGTGCTGAGCAGTCAGGCAGAGCTGGAATCAGCCCTGGGTGAGACAGAGTGGTCAGAGGAGAGGAGCACAGGGATGAAAATGCAGCTTTAACCCAGGCAGGAGCTTGGCTGACCCTTTTACTCAGCTCTCAACCTGGCATCTCCCACCTTCTGCCTTTAAAATCGATCATTTGCACTTGAACGTCCCCAGCCCGAGCAGCTCGGGGCTGGGTGGGAGCTCTGCTGCACACGGGGCTGGTTCAAGCCTGCCAGCAAGCACAGGAGCACCGGGAATTCCACAGTCCCTCTTTGTGCTTGCAGGGAGAGCCGGGAATCACAGAATCACGGAGCAGTTTGGGTTGGAAGGGACCTTAAAGCTCCCTTTGTTCCTCCCCTTGTCACAGACAGGGCCACCTCCCACTATCCCAGCTTGCTCCATGGAAGACTTTGCCTGTGCTGATAGAATAATTCCATTTCATAGGTGGGTCAGACCTGATCTGGCTCATCCTTTGTCTCAGAATTGTTTTAAACTCCACTATTGAGATTTACCTGACTGCCACATAAATCTGCACCACACGGCCCTTTCTGATCACACACAGGTTTATTAAGGACACCAACCACCTCTGCTCCCCAAGGTGTTGGCAGCATCAGCTGGGCCTGAGAGGTGCCAGGACAGCTCCGAAGGGATGAGTTGGAGCTGTCCCAGCCTTGCATCGGCCCCGTTTTGGGCCGCACATCTGGATCTGACACCAGCACAACCTCTGGCTGTCACTTCCTGCAGTCCAAGCCTCTTCCAGGTGCTGGATCCAGGTGCTCAGGGCTGGGTGGGAGAGCGGAGTGTGGCAGGGGAGGCAGTGGGATGTCTGTGCAGCCCCCCAGCAGGCAGTGGTGCTTTCAGGAGGTGCTTTCATGTGGCAGGTGAGTGCTCAGGCCTCAGAGGCTGTGATAAAATTAATTTAAAAAAAAACCCAAAAAGTCCTAAAGGAGCAGCAAAGTCCAGCAGTTCTTCCCAGAGATGCTTTATCCACAGGCAACCCCTTTGAAAATAAACCAAACCCCTAATTCCACGGCTTCCCTGTTTTGATGAATCCCCAAATGCATTAAAGCCCTTGCAGGAGAACATGCCCTGTCCACGCTGAGAGATGCTCTGTATAAACAAAAAGCTCACACACATCTGCTATATACAAAATATTCTGTCCACGCACCGTTCCTTTGGCGTGAAGCTCCCAACACCTCTCCCACGGCGCTGGAGCAGGAGATGGCAGCAGATGCTCGTGCCCGAGGCCGCTGGATTTGGGGTGAAAAGCCCCACGAGCTATTCCTTCAGCAGCCCCAACTTCTTGAGCGCCTCGCGCCGGTTCTCGTCGGCCGCGGCCTTCGGGGAGATCTTCACGCTCACGGCGGAGCGCGACGGCCTGGGGAAGCTGGGCAGAGGGTGGGATCTCCTCTTGCTGCTCTTGTCCTGCTCCTCACTCTCCTTCAGGCCACCAAAGTCCTTCCCTGGCCCGAGGGAGGTGGGCCGGGGGCGGCCGCCCCGCAGGAAGCTGGGGGCCAGGCGCTCGATGAAGGACATCTTGCCCAGGGAGCTGCTGCTGCTCCTGGTGTTCTGCTCCTTGCTGCTGCTGCTGCTGATGGAGCTGCCCAGCCCCACCCCGGAGCGCTCCAGGGTGTTGGATTTGAAGGTCATCTGCCGGATCCCCGGCACGGATCCCTCCCCAGGCTGCCCAGGGACGGGGAGCGGCGTCTCCCTGGGGTGGGGATGGAGGTGGGCGCTGGGCTCCCTCCTGGCCTGGGACAGTCCCAACTTCTCCAGGGCTTCCCGTCGGGCTTTCTCCTTCTCCTTGGGGTCGAGGTGGCCCGAATTCCCCTTTTCAGCAGCGCTGTCGCCGGCAGGGCTGGGCTGAGGGGTGGCTGAGGGTGGAGGTGCTGCTTTCACCTTGTGGTTGTGCTCCGTGGGCAGCGGCACTGAGCTGTTCCTGCTGCTTTTCAGGATGATGTTTGGGGGCAGCTTGCGTGGTTTGGGGGCAGTTGGAGGCCCACGCTTGGCATCGGGGTCTTGAGGGGCCTCTTCCAGCGTGGATTTCTCCGGGTGGCCCCACAAAGTCCGGATCTTGGTCTCCTTGGCCGCCTCCCCTTCGGCGTCTGAGCGAGGGCTGCGTGACCACTCCAGGTCATCCTGGAAGGGCTCTGGAGGCCGGATAATCACGGATTTCATGTGGCTTCCTGAGCTGGCTCGGTCCAGCCCCTCCTTGGGCACCTCCTGCGCCGCTTTTCCCGCTGGCACCGTGGGGACCCTTCCTTTGCTGCCAGAAGCTCCGTTGGCTGCAGGGATGTTCCTCGGAGCGCTGGGGCAGCCTGGGCTGGAGGACGCTGAGATGATTTTCCCACTCCTCTGCTCTGCCCCACCACGCTGCTGGTCCCTGCTCTGAGCGGGAATCCCATTGCCAACATCTGGGAAGAGAAGGAGGGAGCTGGAGGAGGCAGAGATGATTTTCCCACTCTCCTCAGCCCCACCACGCTGCTGATCCCTGCTCCGAGCATATATATATATAAAATATATATATATATATAATATATAATATATATAAAATATATAATATATATTTATATATATTATATATTATACATTATATATAATATATAATATATAATATATAATATATAATATATAATATATAATATATAATATATAATATATAATATATAATATATAATATATATTTATATATATTATATATTATACATTATATATTATATATAATATATAATATATAATCTATAATATATTATATATTATATATTATATATTATATATTATATATCGTATATTATATATTATTATATTAAATATTAAATTATATATTAATTATATTTTATTAATTCATTTATTATATAAATAATTACATTATATATAACAGTTATATTATCGATAATAATTATATTAATTAAATATTATTTATATATTAAATATTATATATTTATATAAAGAGAGCTTTGCTGCTCTCTGCCCGGAGCACAGGGATGCTCTGGGGCTCTGCTCTCTGCCCGGAGCACAGGGATGCTCTGGAGCTCTGCTCTCTGCCCGGAGCACAGGGATGCTCTGGGGCTCTGCTGCTCTCTGCCCGGAGCACAGGGATGCTCTGGAGCTCTGCTCTCTGCCTGGAGCACAGGGATGCTCTGGGGCTCTGCTGCTCTCTGCCCGGAGCACAGGGATGCTCTGGAGCTCTGCTCTCTGCCTGGAGCACAGGGATGCTCTGGGGCTCTGCTCTCTGCCTGGAGCACAGGGATGCTCTGGGGCTCTGCTGCTCTCTGCCCGGAGCACAGGGATGCTCTGGGGCTCTGCTCTCTGTCCGGAGCACAGGGATGGCTCTGCAGGGATGGGAACCCCTGAGCCCCCCAAATCCTGCTCCCTGCCCTGGGTGCCGAGGGGTTCCAGCTCACCTCCGCAGTCCGTGTCATCCGTGGACACGCCGCTGTCTCCTTCTGCATCCAGGGAGCCAATGGTTTCCTCCAGGAACAGCAAACACTCCTTCTCCTCCATGGATAAATAATCATAGCTGCTGGCGCTCTGCGAGAAACAGAAAGCTGTGCTCGTGAGAAAGAGAGGTTTATCATATACCACAAATATATATACACACACATATATGTATATATATGAGAGAGAGGTTTACTTTATACCACACATATATATGAGAGAGAAGTTTACTTTATACCACATATACATGTAAAAGAAAGAGAGATTTATCTTATACCACAAATATATATATATATACACACATATATGTATATATATGACAGGTTTACTTACACCACAAATATATATGCATACACATATATATATACATATATAAGAGAGAAGTTTACTTTATACTATACATATATATATATAAAAAGAGATATTTACTTTATACCACATATACATGTAAAAGAAAGAGAGGTTTATTTTATACGACAAATATATATATACACACACATATATGTATATATTTATATATGTAAGAAAGAGGTTTACTTTATACCACATATATATATAGAGGTTTACTTTATACTACATAAACATATAAGAGAGATTTACTTTGTACTATATATATAAAGAAAAAAAGGTTTACTTTATGCCATATATATACATACACACACAAACATGTATACATATACATGAGGATTTACCTTATACCACATATATATATACACATATATATATAAAAGGGAGGTTTACCTTATATCACATATATATATATAAAAAGAGAGATTTACTTTATACTACATATATATATAAAAAGAGATGTTTACTTTATACTACATATATAACTATATAACTTTATATATATATAACTTTATACTGATATTATATTTTGAATATATTATATATTATTTTACTATTTCATATTTTTCTATTTAATGTCCAGGTAGTTTAGAGAGCCTGTGACAGCTGCTTGGCCAGTGGCTGTTAAATGATGAGTATTTACTGCTCCAGAAAATTAGACAACCTCTAAAGATAAGAAACATATATATACTTAAAACCTTTTTTACAGTACCCTAATCTGTGGGTCAGAAGGTGGATTATTCTGAATTTGGGAGCTTGGTCTCTACCTTTTATTTCTTTAAATTGAAGTGTGAGCAGATAGGTAACAAATCTGTAGCTACAGACACCTGTACTGCTCAGCAATGCTGAATCTTAGAAAACACCATAAATAATGAAGGTTTCTGTGCAGGTGATGAACTCTCCTTGCTCTCCCATTCGTACTTGAGCAAGAGCTGGTGAATTTTTGTTGTGTTTTGAGCACCAGGAGATGTGTTATTGCAATATCAGATATCAAAGTGATTCCTGCAATCTGTCCTGGACAAAATGAAGCGCAGGGCAGGATGGAATGCACATCAGATAAACCAGCACGGGGCAGGAATTACCCCAGGTGGAGTTGTTTTGCAGAGACACTTTATCCAAATCTTCTCCTGTGCAGTATCACAACCAGTTCTTCCATCCCCATTAGACTCGGAGGGTTTGGTTCTGGTTTGCAACACAGCAAATGGAGAAGCTGCCAGGCCTGGGCTGCTCTCACACATATCAATTATGCTCCGACTCAGGCAGGATGTAATTAGCCCATCAGTCTCAGAATCAGTGTAGGGAGACAAACAAGCTTTAATGGACAGATAGTGAAGAATTCCACATCTCTACACCCATGGTCCAAACTCATCTCAACTGGGGAAACTAGAGGAGCTCAGCTCGCTCCAGTGCAGTCACTCAGCCCAGCTGGTCTGATCCCTGCAGCCCTGGCAGCACAGCAGCCTCCCCAGGGAGAGGATCCCCACTGCAGAGAGAGGATCCCCACCCCAGGGAGATGATCCCCACCCCAGGGAGAGGATCCCCATTCCAGGGAGAGGATCCCCATTCCAGGGAGAGGATCCCCACCCCAGGAAGAGGATCCCCACCCCAGGGAGAGGATCCCCATTCCAGAGAGAGGATCCCCATTCCAGGGAGAGGATCCCCATTCCAGGAAGAGGATCCCCATTCCAGGAAGAGGATCCCCACCCAGAGAGAGGATCCCCATTCCAGGGAGAGGATCCCCATTCCAGGGAGAGGATCCCCACCCCAGGGAGAGGATCCCACCCCAGAGAGAGGATCCCCATTCCAGGGAGAGGATCCCCATTCCAGGAAGAGGATCCCCACCCCAGGGAGAGGATCCCCACCCCAGGGAGAGGATTCCCTCTCCAGGCATCCCATCCTGGCCCAGAGCAGCCCCTGCAGTGGCAAGGGCACTCGTGGCAGAATGGGAAGGCTGGCAGTGCTCTGGGGCAGGAATTCATCTGGTCCTGGTGCTGTCTCAGGGCTTCCAGCTGCCTCCAAAGCACCGATGGAGAGCGGATTTGAGCTGAGATCCACCCAAAATCCTTCTGCAGCTCAGAGGGGCGAGCTGGGCTGGGCTCCCCAGGGTTACTCACCCGCTGCGAGTGGTTGGAGGCTGTGCTGGCCATGCTGTCACAGCTGCCAGAGTTGCAGCCAGCCATCCCCAGCTCCTTCCTAGGCATAGCACGGGCTGCCCTGGAGGCTGGCACGGGGGAAATATCCCGGCTGGAGCAGGAGAAAGGAAAAGCATTAAGTTGTGAGATTCCCGCAGGGGTGACTCAAGCACGCTGGGAGGGAGGACAGGCAGGCTCTGAAGCTGCTGGAGGAGCTGTGCCCCATCTTAGGCTGCTGGCTCCAGGAGAAGGCACAGCTGGGATTTTAAAAATCATCCTTGAAGTTTTCCCCAAAATAATTGGAAATGGGGTCATCTCTGCACAGCCAGCTCGTGTTGTGGGTCTCTGATCATCTCAGAGGGGTGGATAAGGCACAAGACAAAGCTGTAAGCCCAGCTCAGGCTCAGAGAGGCTCAGAAATCCCAGCCCCTGCTCATGGGACCTCTTTCCTCTGCCACACCCTGTGCCAGCCCTGCAGCTCCAATTTATGAACGTGCTGGCCCGAAATGCTGCTGGTTACTCACATCCTCGCTCTGTCAGGGCTTCCTCCTGGCAAGGAGCTGCCTCTGCCACCCTTCCTTGGGGGCCCTGGGGAAGTGTCCCCAGGGAGGTGTCCCCAGGGAGGTGTCCCCAGGCCTTTGGGGCACGCCTGGGTGTGTTTGGGGACAGGGCTGGCACGGCTTGTGGGGAGCAGGGCTGTGCCCAGGGGGGTTTGAGCAGCACCCCAAGGTCCCCTCTGCTCACAGCAGCATCCCCCTGATGCTCTTCTGGATGCATCCATCACCAGAGGGACCCCAGTGTTACAAACCCCCTGGGTCTGGGTTTCCAGCAGCGGGGCAGGGTGGCAGAGGGCACAGTTATCCCTGCACAGAGCTCTGCTGAGCACCCACAGGAGGTGTCAAATGCAAAACACCGAGCTCCCAAAACCTCCTGGCACCGCCAATTAGTCTCCTCCACGTGCACCAGCCCGTTTTTGGGGAGGGAACTGGGCTGTGGGGGCGAGAGGGAGCAGCACAACAAACACCAACACCCCCTCCAAGACACACGGACCCACGCGAGAGGATTTGCTCCTCGGGAGACAGAGGAGCCCTTTGTGCTGGAACCTGCCGGCAGGAGCACACTGCTGCTTTTTTTTTCTCGTAGCAGGATCAGGGAATTAGATCCAGCGATAAGTGAGCAGAACTGGCTGCTTGTTCAGAGCGTTAGACCCTGAAAGAATTCTTTTATAATCGGAATATGCCGCAAAAATCAGATTTCAACACCCACGCCCTGACAGATCTAATCCTTCCATGCAGGAGGAGTTTAATATTCCAATCTCAGCTTTGCATTATTTACTGCTTAAGTGACGTTGCAGTAAGTGGTGGCTTTGGAGCAGCAATTCCCTGGATTCTTTGGATTCAGATCCCTTCACAGCCAGGGATTTGAGCTGTCGGGAAGCAGAGCTGAGCTTGGGGAACTTTAGGCCTCTGCACTGGAACATCCACAACGTGAAATTCAGATTTTTATCAAAACTAGAGATATAGATTTATAGATTTACATCGACTCCTAAGTTGCTGGAGGTTTGACCACGGTTGTTGTGCTGCTCCCGGCTGCCTCCCTCCCAAACTTCTGACAGCAAAACCCTCCTGGGGAAGTGAAAGCCTTGCTGGAACTTGAGTGTGCAGCTGTTTGGGGCCAGCAGGGAGGCATTTTCTCCATGAGGATCCCCCCCAACCACCAGTCTATTATAGAAATAATTTTCTCTCATTCAAACAGCATTTGCAGGGACCTCAAGCAGCTGCCAAGGCTTTGGCACCCACCGAGCCCCAGCTCACGAGAGGCAAAGTTCAGCCCGAGCCCGCCGGGTGCTGCTGAGGATCTGCACCAAAACAAGAAGTTCCTTTTCCTGCCCATTAATTCTCTGATGTGATTACGGCTCCAGCACACTCATCCAGCTCAGGAAAGGGGAAAAAATCAGTGTTGAAACCCCCAGTTTTAATGATTCAGAAGGATTTTAGTTCCTTCTTTGCGGTGAGTAACAGCCACAAGCTAAAAACGCGACCGAGCGTTTGATTTACAAGACACAGTACTCAAAAAGATGTTTTATAGCTGGGTTTCAGTGGTGTAGCTCTCTTCCCCAACTAAAAACATATTTGGAAGAAGCTATTTTTTTTCAAAATCCAAAGGCCAGGTCCCTCAGCTGCTGTGGCCGTTGCCATAACTGTCCTTTAAAAGCCCACGGGGCCATCAAAGAGGTGCTGGGTAGCAATTAATGCTAATTGCTTTAGAGAAGAGGCTACTTTCTTCCAGCCAGCACCACTCCAAGCTCTTCATCCTGGCTTAGAAGAGCTTGGTTTTGCTGTCTGGGGCAGAGCAACCAGACCCCTCCTGCCTGGGAAAAGGCATCAAACACAAGCCAAAGCAAATTTCCCTTCGCAGGCACCGTCCCAGCTCTGAGCAGCCCTGGGGGAAGGATCCCAGCTCAGGGGGAAAGGGGTCAGGGGTAAATCTGAATTTCCTCCTATGTCAGCAGGTAAATGAAGCACCCCAGCAGCTCCTTGAGCTGTTTGCTGGTCTGAGCACAGGTTTCCCCTGCTTTCCTCCCACCACCAGCACCTTCAAACCACCTCGTCCAGCTTTGCTGGTGAATCCCCCACCACATTTCAGCCTTCCAAAGCAGAGTACCCAGAGCCCCCCAGCCCCTCACCCACAGCCCATCCAGCAGGAAAAGCACAGAGAGCGAAGAAAAACAGGACCAGAAATTCTTATTAATCTGTTCTGTTGTTTTACCAGGCCGTCCGTCGTTCCGTGCTGCACAATTCCTTGTCCCGGCCGTGCCTATCCCAGGACTTCTTTGCTTTTCTGGGCTAACCAAACACAGCCGGGTTACACATTAACCCTGCTGCAGATAAGGCTGTGCTGGCCAGGCTCGGCAGGTACGTCCTGACAGGTGATCCCCAGCCCCTCACCTGCAGCCAGGGCGAGTGGAATTCATCCCGCAGCCCTGCGAGGTTCCTTTCCTGCTGCTCCAGGCTGGCTCCCGGCGTGGCTGAGCCCCCAGAACCCGTCCGTGCCCCAGAGCGCTGGGTGTGAGCTGGCAGTGCCCGGGAGTGCTCGGTACCACCCAGCTCCTTCACTTCCCTGCCGTCCCCTGCTGTCCTGGGCACGGCTTTGGCTGGAGACTCCTTAATCCGACATCCTGTTCTGCAGCATAGCTGACAGCAGAGCACCGAGCTCAGCCCTGACCCCAGCCTTGCACACAATAATTAAAAACCTGGCCCTGGTCTGGGTGTTCGCTCCCAGGAACGCGTCACCCACAGCAGCTTTCCTCTCTCGGCTGCTTTGTGCAGCGATGCCAGAGCTGGCTCCTGTTTGGCTCTCAAAACAGCCTGGCCTGGGACAGGTCGCTACTTGCGTTTCACCACAGCTTCCCAGAGGCCAGAAGTTTGCTGCCTGCAAAGGAAGGAGGTTGTGAAGACAGGCAGAAAGTGTTTTGGAAGGGAAGTTTCAGCGCGGATTTACAGCACGGGGTGCCCAGGTCTGCGCAGCTCCGAGGTTCCCTCTGCCTGTCCCGACCTGCAGCTGCTTTTGTCCCAGTTGGCACCGATCTCTGGCACCAAAACCCTCTGCAAGCTCCTTCCCCGTGCGGGGACTCCTTCCCCAGGCAGCCTGAGGTCTGTTCCTGGAGCTCTGGTGGAAGCTAAAGCCCCCCAAGATGCCCACCAGACTCATCTTCACACTGACACCTCAGAAACTCTGCTGGGGCATTTCTCCAGCAGCATCTCCTGCTTGGAGCCCCTGGGTGCCACCTCTGCTGCCTCCTCCCCACAGGGGCCCAGATGTCCCCACCCTGTGCAGGTGACACCGACCCCCAGGCCGGGCGGTGCTGCAGGGGCAGGCAGAGACCGGCAGAGCCTCCTTCTCCCTCTGACTTTTGGGCTGTGTTATTAAAATTGGAGTTTTTCCTGCTGATAAACAATGCTTTGGCCATTCCCCACACACAGCATAGACTTGTACCTGCTTGACAAGGTGCTGCTCACTGCAGATCTACAAACACCCTGCAGGAAATTTCCAGGGCTGACACAGCTGCCGGATTCATTCACGTTTCCACGCTCCGATGGTTATTTTTTTTTTCTTTAATTTGTATTTTTAGCAAAAGGCTGTGCTGCCACACAGCTTCCTTGCTCCACAGAACGGGGAAGTGGAAACATCAGCTAATTAAAGCCAGGGGAAGACGGAAGGAGAGCAGATGAGCCAGAGGCTCCCACCGGCAATGCTGAGCCCAGGCAAGTGCTGTTCCAGAAGGGAACGTGTGCTGGAGAGCAAATGAACAAACCCCAGGCAGCCCCAGCCCTTCCTGCCCTCCCACGCTGGCCTGCAGCAGGTGAGGGATGGGGATGCAGCACGTTATCCCTGCTCAGAGCTGCTTGTGACAACCAGGGATTGAGGGCAGGAGTTGTGCTGGCTGCCACAGCATGGACAGAGTTTCCAGGTGATGTTAACTCATGAAGTGGGTTTGGTTTGAAATGAATTAATTAAGTTTCATTTTAAATGGAAGCTTTAGAGCTGTGGGGTTTGTCAAGCTGTGCCTGGTGCTGAGGATGCTCTGAGAGAGGGAGGGAATCAAAGCTGGGGTTATTTTGTTATTGCAGTGCCAGCAGGGTGTGAGTGAGCCCCAGCAGCGGGCAGGGGTGTCCTGACACCAGCAGGATCCACCCTGGGCAGCCAAACAGGCAGAGCTGGCTGCCTGCAGCCCTGTGTGGCTCAGGAAAGTGTCACAGCCCATTAGGAGAAACCTCCAGCTCCTCTGAATCAGGAGCCCAGAAAGAACCTGTTCTTTTTCCACATTCCTCTCCCTCCAACAAATATAAATAGCTCCGACCCGAAATAAGGTGTGATTTCACATGGATGGCATGAAGGATATGCGAGGAGTCAAACGATGCAGAGAAAACTTCCCAGTGCCCTGGAAGGACTTTGGCAGCTTCACAGCCCTGCTGAGCCTCACCCTGTTCCTAAACACGAAGGCACGAGTGACTCAGGCCCAGCCCTGAAGGAAAAGCATCCACACGGCGTCACTGATAAGATTCCTGTCAAGGTAAGGACGTTTATTTGACTCTCTGAGACACCTGGGCACTTTCCTTCGCCCAAATTGCAGGCACAGCCTGTGTGCTGACAAATCAGTTCTGGAAAATAGCACATAGTTAATGCCTCCTGTTGCACAGCACTCATTAAACCTCCCCATGGCCAAGGAGCTCCATTTATCATCTCTGGTTTACAGAGATAGAGAAGGGAGGTGAGCTGTTCTCAAGACCACAAGTGAGAAGGCAGCTCTCAAGCTTTAATTGTTCCCCAACGTCTTCCTCAAGACTTTAATTAAAAATAATAGACAAGGGCACTGCGATCTTGGACAACCTGATCTTGTTAACTCCTCTGTTGTATTCCTGTTTCAGGGAGCTTTTGGTGCTCAGGCAGCTGAAAAGTGATTTCACCCAACCTGAAGGAATTTTATTTGGAGCAAACCTGACAGCAGTTTTAGAGCTGGATGCAAAGTTTGATTTAAAATGCAGCCAGACATTTAATTGCACGGCAGCTGCAATTTTCCAAACAGCAAGCTGACAACTTTTAGTTCCTCTTCTAGAGAGTTTCCTTGGCAGGGAGGGGCTCCCAGGGCTGGCCCATGGGTGGGTTCTGCAGTGAAATCAGCCAAACACAGATGATTCAGCACTCGTGTGTCAGTCTGATTTCTCAGAAACTCCCCCAGCTCCAGGCAAGCAGCAGAGAGCTGCTGCTCTCTCCTCATTCAGCCCCAAAGGGCAAACACAGCCCTGCAGGGTCACAGAGGCTTCAGTCTCACTGGGGGTCGGCTGCCCCACAGGAGAGCCTGGTCCCAGGGCTGGGACATTCTCCAGGAGAGCAGGATGGGTACAGGAGGATGTCCCCAGGGCTGGGACATTCTCCAGGAGAGCAGGATGGGTACAGGAGGCTGTCCCCGGAGCTGGGACATTCTCCAGGAGAGCAGGATGGGTACAGGAGGCTGTCCCCAACTGCTGGGACATTCTCCAGGAGAGCAGGATGGGTACAGGAGGCTGTCCCCAACTGCTGGGACATTCTCCAGAGCAGGATGGGTACAGGAGGCTGTCCCCGGAGCTGGGACATTCTCCAGGAGAGCAGGATGGGTACAGGAGGATGTCCCCGGAGCTGGGACATTCTCCAGGAGAGCAGGATGGGTACAGGGGGCTGTCCCCAGGGCTGGGACATTCTCCAGGTCTCCAGGACAGGATGCCTACATGAGGATGTCCCCAAAGTGTCACAACAGCCCCCGCTGTGCCTGTGCTCAGGGAAAGGTGCTGATCTGAGATGTGCAATGGAACAAGATGTTCCTTTTCTCAGTGCTCTCCCCAGAAACTGCTCTTTTGACAGGAGTTTATTCAGAACTTCGGAATTAGGTTTGTCCTTCAGAAATTCCAGTTATTCCTGATTTTCTCCCCAGACTGCTCTTTCAGTCTATCTCATCCACCAAGTAGATCTGTGTAATACTGGACACAAACATTTGTCAAGTCTACTTAATAATTTATATATTTCAATGCATAAAAGATTCTGGAGGGATGCAAAACTCTCTTTACAGCTGAGTCCTGATATTTCAGGTATCATTATTTCACAGAATCCCAGAGTGGTTTGGCTTGGAAAGGACCTTAAGGCTCATCTCATGCCATTCTGATATTCAGAGTTCATCCCACCACTACAAGGATGCCATTTCTGGGATAATTCCCTGACTGTGTCATTAAGGGCAGGAAAATCCTAGTTTAAAAGTACTAAAAAACACCCTAATAATATTTTTTAAAAAGAAAAGGAGTTGTGTTTTAAATCGATCCAGACTTTACATTTTAAATAATGGAGATTTTTTTGTTTGGGAAAGTTTAGGAGAGTAAGGAGAAATTTTCCTTGCAGTCAGTACCAAGAACTTGTTCTTTGCCAGCCTGTAACAATATCAACTTTTACAACCATGAATTACAGGTATTTATTTATTTTTTTTAACCAAAGAGATTTTATTTTCTAGGCAACAAAAGAAAACATCCAAGCAGTGATAGTGACACATCTCCCTCCAACAGAACTGATTCTCTCTCAGCAGATTCCCAATGCAAACATGATCTAGCAAAGCTCAACACTCTGGATTAAATAAAGCTCATTTTTCAAATACTGCAACTGAGAAATACCAGAAAAAAAAAAGGAAAAAAAAAATGTTTTACACACTTTGAGAAGTCCATCCAGGACACAAAGCTAAAATCTAAGGGTTGCTCCCCAAAGTCAAGGCAGACAATAAATATGGATCTCCACTTGTGTTTCAAAGACACCTCGTGCACCTCTCTGAGGTAGGTATTGTGTCCATGTGACAGATGGCAAAGGGGGAGGATCAGCTCCTTGTCCCAGGCACATCCCTGCTTCCCTGGGAAAGCTGAGAGCACACCTGGGGCTTGCCAGTCTCTTGGTCTCCTTCCTAGACAGCATTTCAGCTCAAGTAGTTATAACACAGTGTCATCTTCAAGTTCCTTTGAACTGTCAGCTACTTCTGGAGGTTTTTTAAGCATCAGCTTCTACAGGGCAGGGTCTAATGTTGGGTTTTGGGGGGGGTTTTATCTTCATTTCCTAATGACAGGCTAAAAGCAGAGTGGGGTTTAACACTGGAAGCTAAGTGGCTTTCTGTAGGGAACTCCCAACAGTGCTAATGTGTGTTTTAATACTGAATTAAAAACAAACCTGGTCCATAGTGCTCTGGGTGATTCTGGGCTGTTTAATTATTCATGCCTTGATTCAGCAAAGCACTTATGTCATTATGTTCTTTCTTCAGTAAAACCCTCCTGTATTTCAAGATCCAACTGGGAGCCTCTGCTGAGAACCTGAAATAGGATTTTTGCAGGAAAGGTGATGTTGCTGCACCAGTTTGGTCAGGTGCTTGAGGGAACAGAGGCCTTTCAAACTGGGTTTCAGGTTCCACGTGGAAAGTGGGTTTATTTCTGCCTCAGTCCAAGGATGCACTTGTTCCCCAGTCTAAAAGTGCAAGGAAGGCCACTCAAAACAGTAACAAGAATGGCAGGCAAAGAATATTTAAATATTCAAAAAACAAGGATGTGTTGCAGGCATTTTTTTAAAAAAAACTAAACATAAATCCCCTTCAGTAATATGCACCTTTACAGCACCTTTTAAAAACCCTCAAAAGCACTTGCTGTTAAGCTTCACAACCCCACTGTGAGGTAAGATATTCCAATTAAACCAATTTCACCTTCCCCAATTCTCAACAGTCCAAGGAGTGGGGTACTTTTCCCAGCTTATTTTGTTCTGAATACTCAGCTGCACCCTTCATTATCACAATGAAAGTCTCGCTACTCCACAGTCAGTGGTGACAAAACAAACACATTAAGGCAGGAAGCAGATGGAATTTCAAGCCTCCCTTCTGGCTCTGGCCTTCAGAGGGCAAAACTTTTTACCAGAGAAGAGTGAGAACTCAACCTTAAAGTGCTCATTTACAGTATTTGGAAACTGGAACAGCTTAGTAACACCATGGCCGTGATTGGCTCTGCTCAAGTAAAATATTCAATGTATTTAACAGATGCAAATTAAGTCACTTCCCTAACTACTCACTTCCCTCTTGCAGGAATTTCCAATGCTATTATGAAGAAGAATCCCAAGTATTCCAGGAAACATGCTTATGCTCTGATGCAGTGTAAACACCAGGGGTTGAGAGTTATTTTTCAAGCAACTAAAAACTACCTACGGAGGATTAGTAAGTTTTATTCAACACTTATCCATCTACTCGTTAATTTAAAGGCTACCTTAAAGCTTAGAGGCCACTGCCTTCCCTAAAGTTCTCTGCACACAAACTACACAGTCTAATTCCTGAAGGTATAGGGCAGCTCAGAGATCCTCTTTCCACTACAAACTCTATTTTGATATTGTATTTGCTATTTCCATTACAAATCACGCACCACACGAGCAGTGTCCCCTCTGAGAGCTGCTCGTATGTGCAGAGCCTAATTCTCAGTGTAAGCAATGCTGATATGTGTGTTTCCCAAAGCCTTGGATTACCTGAATTACCCTGAGAATGTACATTCAGCACCTCAGAGGTGGATTTTACACTGGTGTTGGACAAGCCTGGCTGCTCACATCACACACACACACAGAGAAAGTGATGAAATCAAAGTGTGGCTGCCACTGTCCAGCGCCTGCCCAAGTGCCATCCCTCAGCATCCCTATTCCCAATCCCCTATTCCCAAACCTGTGCGTTGGCCACCATTAAGTTAATTCGCTTTTCAAGCTCTGTGAACGGAATTTTATGATTACAAACAGCTTATCTGGGGACTCCAGAATTTGATTCCGGAGCGGTGAGGTAGTCGATGGCACCCTCCTCAAGCTGAGCTCACACCTCCCCGAAGTTGGTGTGTCCAGTCTCCTTGGCGTGCTCCCTGGCCTCCAGCTGCCCCGTCAGTCCCTTCTGGCACACCATGCAGCGCAGGGCAAAGCGATTCACATCCGTGAACTGCCTCTTCCTCCGAGCCTCGTCCGCCAGCTCCAGCGCCTGCGCCAGCACCACGTCATCGCTGCTGGGGAAAATGGTCTGGGGGGGAATGTCCGAGCCGGGCACGCGGCGCTCCAGCGGGTCGTAGTGGATCCCGTCGTAGATCAGCAGCACGCGCTTGCTGTAGCCCGCGTCCTCCCCGAAGCGGTCGATGCGCACGGTCTGCGTGTCCACCACGCAGATCTCGCACTGGTAGAACTTGGACAGGATGGACACCTCGATGGCTCCTCCCCAGGTCTCCTCCCTGCGGATCCAGTCACAGTATTCCCTGTTGGTTTTGCCCAGCACGGCCTCGCAGTAGGACTCGGGGTCGCTGGCCACGATCTGGGCGATGAGGTTGCGCATCTCGGGGGCGCAGCCGGGGTCGTACACGCCGCCCTCCACCACGTAGGACACGCTGGTGAACAGGCAGGAATTGTCTGCTGGCACCACCCTCCTGGCCAGCACGGGCACGGCTTCCCTGACAGGGTGGGACATCGCTTTCTTGGCGACCACGGGAGAGTCAGGCTCGGGTTTGGATGTGTCCTCTTCCACTATCAGAGTGTCACCTGCCAGACAGGAGGAGGGACATAAAGGGGGCACTTCAAGCTGCTGCTGCTCCTCAAGCACAACAACACGGCTGTGCTGTCATTGCTGAGGATCACAGAAGAGCCATGGAATCATGGAATGGTCTTAAACAGCACCCGGTCCCACCCCTGCCAAAGGCAGAGACACCTTCCCTGGTTGCTCCAAGCCCCGTCCAACCCGGGCTCGGACACCCCCGCCCGTTCCCCCAGCTCGGGATCCCGCTGGGAAACAGCCTGAGCCAACAGCCGCTGGCACCTCAACGGTCCCCGCGGGACTCACCTGGCGCGGCCGCTCCCTGTCCCCTCTGGACCCGCTCCCTGTCCCCTCCGGACCCCCGGGACGCGGCCAAAGCAGCACCGGCGCTCGCAGCGAGCAGGAAGCGCAGCCGAGCCGGGAGCTGCCGCCTCCCCCGGGAGCAGGAACCGGCCCGACCGCCGGCTGATGAGGGGCGTGTGTGCCACGGCCTCTTTAATTAACGTAATTGCAGCCGGCGGGGCGGCAGAGCCCGCAAAGCGCCGCCCCCCGCCCTGCTGCCCCCGGGGCCCTCACCCGAGTGGATGCCGAGCTCGCCGAGCCGCCGCTCGCCGTCGCTGAGGTCGAGGCTGCGCGGCGGGAAGCCGTGCAGGAGGCGCTGCGCGGGCGCGGGCACTCCCGTGAGCGCGGCCAGCGCGGCCTGCATGTCGCGGAGGCGGGAGTGCGGCGACAGCCCCGGCAGCGCGTGCGAGCCGCTGCGGGCCTTGCAGCGCAGCCGCAGCATCCTCGGGGCCGCCGCCGCACCGGCCGCCGCCGCTTCCGCTTCCGGCTCGCGCCCGCCCCGCTCTCGCGAGAACACGCGGCGCCCCACCCCCCCAGCGGGCGGCCAATCAGAGCGCGGGTGGGGCGGGGCGGAGAGCGCTCGTCGCCCATTCATTTGCATAGCGCGCGGCTCATTTGCATAGAGCCGGGCACCGTGCCCTTGTCATTGGTACAACACGCCGGGAGGCTGATTTGCATAAAGGCGGTGACACCGCCCATTTAATTTGTATTAGTTTAATATGCAACCAGACACCGCCAGCCATCTCATTTGCATAACGCGAGGTGCTGCCCCTCCCTTCCCCGGTGATTACCTCCCATTTGATTTGCATAGCCCACCTGAATTTGCATAGGGGCGCGAGCTCCACTCCCCTTTTATCACCGTCCATCTGATTTGCATAGCGCGCGTGCTCCGGTTCCCTTCTCGCCCCGCCCATTGCCCTCCCGGTTCATTTGCATACAGCGCGCGGCTCCCCTCTCTTTCCCGGTCTCATTTGCATACAGCGCGCTGCTCCCCTCTCTCTCTCTCCAGGTCTCATTTGCATACAGCGCGCGGCTCCCCTCTCTCTCTCCCGGTCTCATTTGCATACAGCGCGCGGCTCCCCCCACCCCCGGTCTCATTTGCATACAGCGCGCGGCTCCCCCCACCCCCCGGTCTCATTTGCATACAGCGCACGCCCCCGCGCGCGTGACGCGGGCCCGCTCTCCCGCCCCTTTTCCCGCGTGTGCGGTGCCCGCTTTCCGTCCCCGCTCCGCCGGGTGCGAGCTCCGCCGCTCATTTGCATGCGATTTGCATGCGGCGGGGCGCGGAGCGGCGGCGCGGAGCCATGTCGGGGGCTCCGCGGGGCAGGGCCGGCGAGAAGCAGTGCTGTGAGTAGCCCCGGGCCCGGGGGGTGCTGCGGGGGAGGATGCGCCTTCCTTAAAAAAATGAAATCAATTGCGGGAGGGGGATGAGCGCTTGTCCCGAGCCTCGCTCCGTCCCGCGGGGGACCCTGCTCTGTCCCCTCTGTCCCCTCCCTGACCCTGTCCCGCTCCCCCACAACCTCCCGGCTGCTGCATCCATCCCCATCCCCTGCTTTTCCCCCCAAATCCGCCTCTCCACGGGCGTTTTCGGAGCTCGCTCGGGCTGTTCGCTGAGAGAACGTGACCGTTTTGTTAAAAACATCTTTGGTTCGCCCTTGACGGCTCCTGCCCGGGCGGAAAATGCTTTTAACGCTAAAAGCCCCATTAGGCGGTGGTGCTGCCGCTTCGCCTCATTAGCGAACAGCCGGGAGACCACGGAGTGGTCACAGCAGCTCATGACAGCGGGGACACAACGCCAGCCCGTCCTGGGATGCACGGAGATGCTTTATCCACCGGGAGATGGGATGTGACGCCGGGCTGGGTCTCACTTTATGCTCTGCAGCTCCGATCATGCTGTTTTGGGGTGGTTTTGGGGTTGTTTTGTTGGGTTTTTTTTGCAGCATGGGCTTCCTACATGACCAACTCCCCGACGCTGATCGTGATGATCGGGCTGCCTGCGCGGGGCAAGACCTACATGTCCAAAAAGCTCACCCGCTACCTCAACTGGATCGGGGTGCCCACCAAAGGTGGGGGTGTGTGGGGAGATCCCTGCCCTGTGCCGGGCCACCTGCCAGTGCAATGCCCTCTCACTCTCCTCTCTTGTGTGTGAAGTGTTTAATTTAGGGGTGTATCGACGCGAGGCGGTGAAGTCCTACAAGTCCTATGACTTCTTCAGGCACGACAACAAAGAGGCCATGGAAATCCGCAAGTGAGTCCCTGTCAGGGGCTGGATCGGTCCGTGGAGGGCTGGGGGCACTGAAAGCTCGCCAGGCTGTGTGTCTGAGGAGCACAAAGTAACCCTGAGTGCCTGTGGAAGGAGGAAGGAACAGCACAGCCTGTGCAGGAATCCTGCCAGGGATGGGTGTGGGAGTCTGGGGCTGGCACAGAGCTCAGGGGCTGAGAGGATCAGGTCGCAGATGGAGGTACCCCAAAGTCTCTGGGGCTCTTAGAACAGTGATACAGGGCTGGGAGGGAGATGTTTGCCTTCTGCTGGCTCAGCTTTGCTGTGGGAATGCTTTCCATCAGCTGTGACCATCCCTATTTCTGTCCTGCAGACGCTGTGCCCTGGTGGCTCTGGAAGATGTGAAGTCTTATCTCTTGGAGGAGTGTGGGCAAATCGCTGTAAGATCCTCTGCACTAAAAATAGTTTTACATCGGGGCAGTTCAAAGCTGCCTTGGAGCGTTCAGGGACCTGGTTTGGGGCTGGGGTTTAAAAGTCTTAAGATAAACTTGCTCAGTGCTCCTTCCTCATTTTCTTCCAGGTGTTTGATGCGACCAACACGACTCGAGAGAGACGGGACCTGATCTTAAATTTTGCTAAGGAAAATGCTTTCAAGGTAGTGCTTTAATTATGTGTTTAATTTGCAGTCGCTACACCGAGGGGTGTTGTGGCTCCCCAGCGCAGGAGCTCTCAAGTTTAGGCTCTGAAATGTGTTTCCTTGCCTTCTCCCCAGGTGTTTTTCGTGGAGTCTGTCTGTGATGATCCAGAGGTCATCGCTGCCAATATCCTGGTGCGTGCTGCCCTTCCCAGGCTCGGCTGCCGTGGGAACTCGGGGAGCTCGTGGGGATCTCTGCAAGTGCCTCCCTCTCACGTTTCACCTGCAGAATAAGCAGCTGGGATTTGCAGGTTTATTAAAAGCCAGAGATGCTGTTATGTGAGACTCTGGAAATCAAATGGAGCCGGGCAATGAGTGACCTTGAAGCACTGTCCTGGCGAGGGAGGGAGGGCAGAGCTGGGAGCCAGCGGTGTCTGTCAGGGCCAAGCACTTCAGTGCCTTGAGAGTCTTTGTTTCCTGGCCAGAAGCCGGTTTTTCCTCAGGGCAGCGTTAAACAAAGTGTTAAACAAAGTGGGGAATAATGTTATTCATCGTTGCTTTTGTTCCTTCTTGAGTTTGCTTAACCCGATGTCTGTTGGGCAGGAGGTGAAAGTTTCCAGCCCCGACTACCCAGAGAGGCACCGGGAGAACGTGATGGACGATTTCCTGAAGAGGATCGAGTGCTACAAGGTCACCTATGAGCCTCTGGACCCGGATGCTGATGACAAGTAAGCAGATCCCTGAGGTGCTGTCTGTCCTTGGGCACAGGAGCTGCTTTGCACTGCCAGCACCTCTGCCCTGCCCAGCTGTGACAGGTGAATCACACGTCCCAGGTGACATCTGAAGGGGTTTTTCTCTCTGTGTGCTGCAGAATGGTTTGGGTTGGAAGGGATCTCAAAGCCCATCTCTAAGAGCCATGGGCAGGGACATCTTCCACTATCCCAGGCTGCTCCAAGCCCTGTCCAGCCTGGCCTTGGACACTTCCAGGGATCCTTGTGCCAGGGCCTCCCCCCTCTCCCAGGGAAGGATTTTTAAGCAGAGCAGTTCAGAGCCTGTCCTGCCTTCCCTAGAGGAGGAGTAGCTGGGTGACACCCTCAGCCACTCGTTTTTAAAACCAGCCCTGTGGGTTTTCTTATTTTATGTCGATTGCAGAGATCTTTCCTTCATTAAAGTGATCAACGTGGGCCAGCGGTTCCTGGTCAACCGAGTCCAGGATTACATCCAGAGTAAAATCGTCTATTACCTGATGAACATCCACGTCCAGCCGCGCACCATCTACCTGTGCCGGCACGGGGAGAGCGAGTACAACCTCCTGGGCAAGATTGGTGGGGACTCTGGTCTGTCAGCCCGAGGGAAACAGGTACTGCCTGGGCCTGGGGGCTGGGGCTGTGCCCTGGGGGCTGGGGCTGTGTCCTGGGGGCTGGGGGTGATGCCCTGGGGGCTGGGAGTGATG